ATGTATATATGTCCACATAAACATGTATATACATGTATATGTATGTGTGGAGAAGAGCGAGAGCGCGAGAGAGAGAGAGAGAGAGAGAGCGAGAGCGAGAGCGAGAGCGAGAGCGAGGGCGAGGGCGAGAGCGAGAGCGAGAGCGAGAGCGAGAGCGAGAGCGAGAGCGAGAGCGAGAGCGGAGCGAGAGAGAGAGAGGGAGAGAGAGAGCCAAAGCGAGAGCGGGAGCGATCGCGAGGGAGAGAAAAAGAAAAAGAAAAAGAGAGAGAGCACGAGGGAGACAGAGAGAGAGAGAGGGGGGGAGCCAGAGCCAGTGTAAAAGCAAAGGGAACAATCTAGACAATCCTGAGCAACCAAGATCAATCACTTTCCACACTCACACACAGTCAAGCAAGCACCCCTTTCTTGAGCCAATGCCATTCGGCATCATGGCGATAGCATTCATGAGTGAATCGTGAAGATTCAAAGGTTCATTGGGCTCGTGTCATTTAACACAGAGCCTTGATCCGGACTTCAGTCGAGGATCATTCAAACATTTATCCAATACGGCAGCATTTGAAAAGCGTTCACAAAACAAACAGCATTGCTACAGGCCATTGGTCTCATTCCGGACGTTTTGGCTGACTCGGTCGACATTCGCTTCCTTGGCTCGAGAATCCTCCGACAGTCTTGCATACATCCTTGGCAATCGACTTCAGAGAATTCTCGTTGTCATATTGGACAATCCCAAAAGCCCTGCCAATCTCAAACGCAAACCTGCGCAGTTTGGCTACACAACAGCCACTGAACAGCCAGTTTGCACCTCAGTTGCATTCAAGATGGTTCTTTTCGGCAGGTCATTCTCCGTCGCCACGAAGGAGAAATCAATCTGAATCACAAGTTGCTTGTCATGCTTCTTGGTTGCATGCTTTTCGCGACCTTTCGATTTCACACAACGTTCACACCAGTCCCTATAGGGCAGGTGTGTCAATTCGTGCAATCGGCGCTCATTCTCCGAAGCTTCGCCAGGAACCTTCAACGTTTTCGGCCTTACTGCACTCCTGTCCTCGGTCTCTTGCTCTGCATTTTCGCCAGCAGTCGGACGATCAAGAGGAACAAGCGCTGTGTATCCAACCCATTGGTTTAATGTAGTCATAAGTGTGCTTCTCATCCCCTTCCTTAGCTCCCCCGTGTGGACCTCCGAATCGATTGAACCCCGAAGCTCACGAAGAAGCATGTCCCTCAGAGCAGTCCGCTGAGGCTGATGGTTCAAACCGGCAATGACAGATTCCCAATTGTGAATGAAGGTGCTGAGGTCCTCACTGACGAGATTGACTTTAAGTAGGTCTTTTACAATGTACGTCGGTTTTGAAGTGGTGCTCAAACATCAACAGGACTTTTGTCTACCGCAAACAGCCTTCCTGCCGAAGCTTCCGACTCATTGTAATTAATGATTTGTCTGGCGAGCTCACCTTGGCAACTCGCGATCAAGCAGACAGAATCTTAGTATCAAGTGTCAGAAACTTGCCTGTCTCCCGAAATGACTCCAAGGTAGCCGACCGCTCGTACACCTCCTGAACCCATTTAAAAGCATCGTCGGGTTTGTCGGATGCGGCCCTCACAGCCTCGCGTACTGCGATTTTCAACGATCTGTAAGTTTCGGGGTTGGGGAAGCCGGGGAGCTTCACGCACTCAGCTTCCTTAGCTTGCGGCTTGTCATCATGGGTTTTGCCGATTGCAGCTCGGAGTGCAGAGGCGAGTTCGCCGATTTTGAATACTGGGGCCTTCCTAGAACTCCCTCAAGTTCCAAGGAATCTGGATGAATCTGGTAGGGGCTGGGAAAACTAGGCATCCACGACCCTGAACACCCTGAACTGCAGCAACAGACGATGGGCACCACCTTGCGGCGGGCTAGGATTTTGCACTCACTTTCCAACACTGCTCCGATGCCACCGGCATGTGGGGCTCCAACTTGCATTGGGCTATGCCTTTTCTCTGCAAGTTCGGTCTTTAGTGAGTCGGCCTCAGCCTGCAATCCGCTTTTGGGTCCGTCAAATCCGTCAAACTCTAGTGCTAGGCGCTAGGTACTCCGATCGGTGGTCGAACGATTTTTGAAGTTGTGCTGTCTGTAGCTCAGTGTGCCTCAACGCTGTCCCGAAATGAAGTGCGCGTGTTGTGAGCGACATGTTTTGTGCGGTGAACCTGAGTGCTGCTTGCCTGTCCTCATGGCAGTCTGTCTCGCTGCGAAGCAGCCTCGACTGACTCAGCTTCCGCCTGTATACCGTCATCTATGAGTTGAGTTGGGACACCAAAACATGTGTGCCATGTTGGACGAAGGCTAGTCGCCTGGTATGTTCGGCGCTTGCTTGAGGCATGCGCCTCCAGAGACCTGATGTCCCTGGCTTTCGTATAGACAGCGTCCATCATCATACGATGCCGGGCTTCAGTTTCTTCTTCGGCTGGGCGCTCCAAGGACCAGTCGTTAATGAAACATTAATCTCTTGGTTCTCTTGAGCAACTGCGTCAAATAGTTTTGTGCATTGGTGCCCCGATTCTCGTTTCCAGCATTACCAGTGCTGGGGACCAACGCCATCAAAGCTACCTACGGATGATAACCTGAAGTTTCCGGTGCCACAGCTACCAGCAGCTTTACTCCGGTACGTCAACGCTGTTGAGTCCTTTGTCCTCATGGGGACGTTAGCCCAGGTGAATAGCATAAACAGAATGCTAAAGGCAACAAAAGTACAGTAGGAAGCAGGGTAAAATTTAGACAGTCTTGAGCCAATACCATTCAGCATCGGAGAGAGAGAGGCAGAGAGAGAGGAGAGCGAGAGAGTGAGAGAGAGAAGGGCGGAGGAGCGGAGGGGCGGAGGAAAAGGGCGTAGCAAGCGGGACAGATATGGGTTCGGAGAGGAGGCGGGCACAGAGGGACGGAGTTGGGAGCGAGAAAGGGCGAAGCGGACATCGATTCAGCTCAGATTGCAGATCATGCTGCTATGTTTTTAATCTTAGCCATGCGTCTCGGAGGCCGAAACTTGCTGAATGTCTCGAGAAAGGAAAAAACTGGTGCGGGCATTTTGACAAAAAAAGTCAAGGCTCTGACCGAAAGCATGAACATGAAGTCGCAGATAGGCCTGTAGTCAGGATGCGCGACGTCGATGCCCGCACAGCTCAGCGGAACAACCTTCCCCCACCCAAGCTTCTCGCAAGGTCAGTCCTGGGCTTTGATCACATGCCAAATCCCCAAGCCTTGTCCAATAGGGGCGTTTCGACCCGCATCCCGGGTCTCTCCTACTGCTTCTGTTGCGGAAACCTGCCAATGCCCAGCTTGAAGCTACCGAGGTTGCACACCTATCGTGACCGAGGTTTGGATCGAGCACGCCCTGTATTAAGTGCGAAGGGCGAGCAGTATTGAACACGGTGAATACTGCAAAGCTGCACCTCAGCAGTGCAGGTGCACACCACAGCTTTGCCAACTGCTGAGCCTTGAAATACTATCCTGTAGACTTCTTCCAGGAATATTGCAGGATGCCTTTAGTCACAGCTCTGCGAGTCAAGGACACGGCCTTCCAGTCTTTGCGAGGTTGCAAACGTGCACATAGTCCCAAACCTGACCATTGTCTGGTTTGGACTGATACATGCCGTATGCGGTATACAGAATCTACCCACCCTCTGCTGTTTCGAAGTTTAGCTTCAGATCCAACAACATTCATGAAGCAAAGTACTGCCCCCCGTGCCTCAGGTGCAAGGAAACCGTTCATCAACTTCAAGCGTTGGATCCAGCGCAGATGCGTTTGCACAGCCTGAGATTTCCAAGTACCAGCAGTTCAAACACTGATTGTGTGGGTAATCCCAGATCCAAAATATCCCAGGCAGGCTCAGGCACCTCTGTCTGGAGGATTTGTCGAACTGTCCCCTGCACGCCAACAGTGCCATTGCCAATGCCCACTGAGCCTGTGAAGAAACACACTCGCTCCAGAGCTCCACGCTCCCCGGCCAGAGGCAGGACGCCCCACAGAGCAGCTCCGCAACACGATGCATATCACGAAAGCACGTTCTACACGAGGCATCTCACAAGAAGCCCTGTTTGCAACGGCATTGCGCAAGACGATGCATCTCGAATGCGACTTTGCAACTCGGACTCACAGGCATTCACAGGCCTTCGATGGCAACCACGTCAGCCTCTGGGTGCCTGAGAATCCAAAACGCTGAAGCTGCCCCTCGCCGATTCTAGGTCCGCCTGTGGGCCGCTTTCAGTGCGAAGTAGCCGCTGCAGGAGCCCAGGTCGACCACTCGAAGCGGCCTCCAAACGAGGACACCATTTGAAGTGGGGATGTCTCGGGTGTTGGCGCCGCACCTGGTCTTGCTGCACCTTGCAAGGCCCTCGGCAAGAATCGGCTTCATAGCCTGACACGAAAACAGAGAAGACGCAGCCCGGCCCAGAACAAGACCAGACCGACTGCAGGAGTGACTTGTCCAACTGAGGGTGGGGGAAGGTTACTTCGCATTGGGCAGGTGACAAAGAACATTCATGCACTCATATTGCGAACTACAGCTGCAGAGGTGCGCGAACCACACAAAGACATACACAGAAATCGTGAGCATAATCACATGGGCTGCTATTTACGCATGCATCCAATGCCTGCCATCTGCCTGTGAAGTGCTCCCACGGTCGATCTGCGTTGGCAGCAATGTACGTGAAGTCCTGCCTTGGCGATGAAATACCATTGAAACTAGGTACTACCATGCACAACGATCGTGCTGCAAACGATTTGCTGCCACGTCAGGCACACGGGGGATGATGATTTTGGAAAAACGCAAATTGCTTTTCATCCAGGCATCAACATGAATTGTCCGGTTGTTGCTTGGACCCTTGTGCAAACACACTTGTGGGATTTCGGCAAGAGCAAAAGGCAAGCATAGAAGAGGGGTGAGGTGGGGTTGCGCTTGTTGGAGCACGGCGCAAAGTTTGGGATGCCTGGCTTCCGTTGTGATCGTCTGTACATGGCTGACACTGGCGGCTGCTTGAGACAGATGCCTGCATTGTGGAATAGTTCCTTTTATCGACCTCAAGCTTGGCTGTCAACATAAGTTAGTCACTGCAGCACTTATTTGCGTGGCTGGGATGGTGCTAGTTGTGGCGGAGATGAATGCAGGGTATCAAAGATTGATCGTGATGATGACAACATCGCATTGAAATACTTGTGAAGTGGGAGCTAGGTCATGCCACCAATCCAATACCGGCGATGGAAAAACGCGGCGCGTGCCATCCCCACTTGTCTGGGGTGCGTACGACGCCCTTTTGGCCCGTAATGAGGGCTTCTCGCCACGTGTTTCTGTAATCAATCTTGTAATGTTGAAAACGGGCTCGGGTCGCTCCAAATATCAACACGCCCTGTTGGCCTTCGCTGCGTCGTCTGGCATTGTCCGCCGCAATGTGCAATGATTGCTCGTTTGGGAGTGGCTGATCCGTATACAAGATCACTGTTGCTGGAATCTCAACGTTGTTTGCTGAAAATGTGTTCTGGATGCTGGTGAGTCGAACCAGGTCTTCCAGTAGAACGCCGGTTGTTGGTTGCATGTCTGTGCCATGGCAGCACTCACTCAATCACTCACGGCTCTCTGACAAGTCCCATGTCATGGCCGAGCAGGTGGCCGACTAGGATGCCACGGAACTCAGACAAGCCCCCCCAGACGCACAGCGGCACCAATTAGGCAACGCCGCCTCTGGAGAATAGGAAGAGCCATGCAGCCCGACAACATGTCTATGGCATACAGACCTTCCATCCCACCAAGCAGCATGACTCTTGCATGACTGCGTTCGTACCATTAACAAAATTACACGTCACTCACGGTCTTTGTCAGTTTGTCGACAAGATCTTGCAACTCACGTTCATTGCCGGAGCGCGGAGCAGTGCCTCACTTGATTCGGCCACCAGCTTTCGCCATGGTCCGCAGCAAAGCATCCAAGATGGGCACCATCTCAGGGGACACCGCGAAATGAATCTTGTTCTGCTTTTTGTCGAAACAATGCTTGGCCTTGGCAATGAACACCTTGTCAATCAGATCCGACACGGACTTGACGCTGCCGAAGTGCTCTTTCAAGACCTCTGCATCCTCACCAGTCGCTTGAACTTCACCCACAGCAACTTTCACCATCGACGCCCAACTGTGGTACTCCTCAAGGCCCTTGTGATTGCGTTGCTCGCGAGCAACCTTCGCCTTTTCCGTGAAGATGCGTGTAGCCTCCTGCGCCTCACTGACGTAGAGGGAGTCTTTGGAAATCACCACGGTGCGGAAGACAGCAGACTGAAGCTCGCGGATTTCCAAGGAATGGCGAAGCGACAGCTGGGACAGGAGAAGGAGCAGTTTGCCGATCATGGCCTGGTCCAGCTCTGGCTTGGCAGCAACTTCAGTCCGAGGTTTCTTCTCGGCATGATTGTCGCTTGATGCAAGCCACCCGTCCATACTTTGCAAAGCCAAGGCCACAAGGCAACTACTCGGGGGGCACGGCGTTCTGAGCAACGGCTTGTGCTGGAGTCGGCCCGTCAACATGCGTAGTGATGCACTGCAACAAAGAATCCATGTTGTCATGTTCAGTTTCGCAGTACGGACATGACATGTCACTGATAGGTTGGATCTCATGGACTGTCGTGCACCCTTTACCTTTGCATCGTCCATGCTTGAAGGATCTCTGTAGGTGCTGTTTGGCACATTTTTTGTCGGCAAAAATGCTGCACACGTTGCTGACTGCAGCCTGGCTCGTCACAGTACTCTGCCGTGTGTTCCTCCTTGGGTAAAAAATTGGTGGACCCAAGGCATGACGTGATGAGAACTTGGCTGTACAAGCGCTGCCGTCATCAAGCTTGCAATCGCAGGCGAAACGCAGATCGGCCTCAAGTATAACATCAAGGGCAGGGAGAGGTGCATCATCCTGGAAACCAGGTGGTGGGATGGCCACGGACAGGTATTGTCGACGCAAAGCCGTGCAATCAATTGCAACGAACTGCTCGGGAGGGTCAGTGAAGACGCGAAGGCAACTACCCGCCAAATCATGCACCAGATTAATACCACCGTCCACGTCTTGCAGTGCGCGGATGTCACGTTCAAACTGCATCGCCCACGGGTTGCTGCCGACGGCGATTCTACCCTGCGCATCCAGGGTGGGTGAAGTCCTCGAACGAGAACTGCCCAAAGACTGATGCAAGTAGCTGCACATGCCTGAGTGGACATCTTGCCACAGACTGCCAGTGCTTGAGCCTGCGAACTCGTAGCTCAATACTCGTCGGCACCAGTTGCAGGAACCGCCAAACTTTCTTGGAGGGGATAGCATGGTACTCCATCGTGCCGTCCTCTGACAAGATTTTTGCACCAGCATCGCCACGCATGACTTTTCTTCCTTTGGAGCGTACAAACCGATCAAGCCTGTCGAGCTGTGAGCACTCTAGCCTCCAAGCCTGACACAACATGCGAGTACACTCCACTCTTGAATAAAGTGACCAGTGGTCTCGAAGCCACTTTCGGACTTGACCATAGCTTCCCATAAGAGCACCATGCACCGCGCCCTGCTTGGATACGAGCAGTGATCTTTGGCGCATTGCTCCCTGCAAAATGTGATATGGCGCCCAAGTACTTGATGCTTCTGTGCATCCCGCCTGCCAGCAGATTCTGCGAATAAGCCATCCGCATGAAGCTGTCCGAGCCAGTCCCGCGAAACAACACATGATGAACCTGCTTGTCTGCATTTTGCGCAATGCCAATCTTCGAGAGAAAAGCGTCAAACAAGCAATTGGATAGGCCAGACCTGAAGGCCATGTCATCAGGGTCAGCAATGATGTGTTTTTGCAAACGTCATCGGCATAAGAAGACAAGGAGCAGTCAACACATTGTTGCGACACAGGGTCCACAGATGTGAGTTCCTCACCCACTGCTGCAAACATGCTCGCGCAATATTCATCAATCCCTGGGTGATAGGCGAGGAGACAGGCAAAACCATCCCCTTGCAGAATTTGGGGTTGAACATGGATGGTTCCATCGCAAGCCGTGATGCACATGTAAGTTTCGCAATGCCGCTGTTGGAGTAGCACTTCGTCCGCTTGCCGTGCAACTCCTGCCACCCGATCGTGTAGGACACTGCGAAGCGGGCTGTAGAACGCATTGGCAACATCATGGGAGGAGGTGAACACTGATAAGCCTTGTTTTTTTGCTCGCCAAATTGTAACATGTTGAACCAGCATCGGGTCCAGCCGGCTCTTACCACGAATGTATCCTGCAGCGTAGTGCCGGTCATGCTGTTGCGCACAACGGCTGCCAAGCCATCTGAAGTAAAGCTTGCCCATGGTATCCAAATTGTTGATGGCACGAACTCCAGCGCACTTGGGCTTGCCATTGTGCTTGTCCAGCTCAATGACCTCGCTTCGTTGCCATTGAACAGGAACCTCGTCATACATCCGGATTGACAGGAGTAGTTGTTGAAAGAGCCGTCGAAAATGCACCGTGGACAACTTGCACGAAGCAGCGTATCCAACACCAAACTTGTCCTGGGAAAATTTCCACTCTGGCAAGAGAACTTGTCGCCAAACTTCCGCTGGCAGCCGCCAAGAGGGATACCCTTTGCGTAGCTGTAATCTGTATCCAAGTCGGCAGAGCCCTCGAAAATCATTCCTTGCGAGAGCTTGCGCCGACTCAGCACTCCGCGCCGGAGTTTTGGGCTGACTAGCTGCTTGAAGGACGGTCCGCCAATTAATAGACTTCGATTGGCAGCCACAGTCAGGCCCAGGTTGTTCCAGATACGACAGCCGGTCTGAACATGTAGGCTGCACCGATTTTGGGCGATCAAATCTACGACGCTTCGGTCCCAGCCGAAAGCCGGAAAGAAGCCGACTGACTCTGCAACAACCCTTGAGATCACGCGTGTGCCAACAGTAATTGAGTTCGGCAACTCTTGCCTGCCGCCATGATTCACGATCACGCTTGAGCAGCACATCGGAGATTCGACGAGCTTTCCAAAAAGATGCCAACAGTTTCCATTGATGCAACAAATTGGCCAGAAACTGGAGTGAATCGCGAGGAGCAGAGGGAAGTGCAGCCTTGACAATGCGCAAGTCTTGGCGTCCTGAGTCTGCAGCAGCGCTGCTTGTGTGTCGGCGGGGCGATCATGCTTTGCATGTGTGCCGCCTGGGTACTGCTGGTTGGTTGCATCGGACAAGGCGTCGTGCAAGGCCTGAAAGACAGCAGCCGGGCGTGGTGGCACAGCTTGCTCCAGACTCTGCAATGTTTGCTCACATTTTCCTTCAACCAGTGCAAGGAACTGCGGCCTACGCACACCCTGAATAGCATCCTGGGCAAGCAAATCACGGTCCAGCTGGCGGCGAAAATCATGCTGTTGAGATTGATACTGCAGCCGATGCTCAAAAACAACAGTGAGGGGCACATGATCCCGCAACCCCGTACAGGCATGCCATTGCAATCGATATGCACGTGCCTTCTGCACATAACAGCGTGTAACTTCATGCAGCCTAGATTGAGGGAGACACACATAATCCACGCGAGTCCCATGACCAGTTGTGCCGAAGTACGTGGGTCCACACTCATGAAAGGTGTTGACTGCCCCCAAATGATGTAACTCAAGTAGTTGTCTGAACTCGCCTCCATTGAAGTTTTCGAGCGCAGCTTCTGCTTGACCCACTGCTGCACTGTTGATATGCGCCAGATAGCCTTCGTGCCGATGAAACCCCCTGTGCCCGTTGGCATCAAGAAGAAGAATGGGCAAACATCTATGAGGAAGCCGATCAAGAAAAGCAGCCAGGTACAACCACAAACGTCTAGCCTGTTTGCGCTGAGCTTCCGTGTTGGGTGGGTGAGGTTCAGGATACTGATAGACGACAATTGCACACATGTCCACATCTCCTCGTACAAGGCGCACAGCCCCAAACCTGCCAGCCAGCTCATCCGGAGGCTGGTAGACTTGCCGGACATTGCGTGCAGTGAAGACATTCCGCCGTAGTGCGAGGGCCACACCGGCAGCTTGTTCAGCCCTCCCGCCTTTGTGGCCCCATTCAATCCACAAATGCGTGCCCACTTTCTTTTGTGACACCGGGATTCCAACAGTAGCTGCAGGAGTACATGTGCCGGGGATGCCAATCATGTGAGAATGACCCAGCTCTCTGACGATCTGCTCTCGTGTGCCAGCTGCGCGAGAAACATAAGGATTGTAAACACTAGTAACTCATCGCATTGTGACATAGAGTCACGCTACAAGGCCGCCGGGGGCGGCAGCAGCCTACCTACAATTTCTTAGCCACCTGCACGCTTCAGTCAAGCTTGCGCCAATGATGGCTCCTGGCAGCACACATAGATGCACGTGCGTGCAGGCGGTGTTGTGGCCGCATATCCAAAAAGAAGGCGTTCTTCGCCCTTCCACGGCACATGGAAAATTGTATGTACCCCATCGGCCCATCGGAGATGTCCATAACGGTAGCGCAAAGCTCCTGGCATGCTTCTCGTGTTCCTGATGCGCATATGTCATGTGCTAAATCAAATATGTCGTTGATGCTGATGCTTCATGCGTCCGCGATCTCATGAGTGTGTGCTCCAACTTTTTGGATTCTACAGGGTCGACAGCATGTGGTGCGACCCTGTCTTGTGGTCTGATCTCCACGTAGGGTGTGACAATGTGCTGAGGCGGTCGTCGGCCGGTCCGTATGTTGCTGGAACGCGATGCTTGCTCGTTGGGGCTTTCTCCCGCTGTCGCATGGGAGTATGCTGCGGTGTTACTGCTTGGCTTGCCACACGGCGGACCTGGTTTTGCAGCGGCTCCGTGACTTTGAGGCACGGCTGTGCTGGTGGTGATAATACGGCTGAAGGTTAAATCCTGCATTTCCCATAACATGGAATATACCATAATTCCCACAGCTTAGGGTTCTTCAGGTCATGCAGGATGTATATCATCAACAATAGGAAGCAACGGCGTAAACGTCGACATCTACTTTGTAAAGGACTTTGTCCGTGCGAGCTAAAGTTTCCAGCGTGTAAATAAGAACTGGAACTATTGTGACCTGAAAGAGTTTGACTCTTTTGGAACGATTGAGGCTGCTGTCCCAAACTGGCCGTAATTGCTTGGTCTCTGCCAGCGCTGCTCGGTGTGCCAGGGCAGTTTCTGGAGACCTGGTGCCTATGTATTTTGCGGATTCTGCTGTAGGGACCGGATCTCCATTCCTGCTGTATATTGTCACGTTGTGGTCTGGGCGCAGGTGCGGAGCTCCGTTTTGGTGGTGTTAAGTGACATAGCATCGTATAAGGCTTTGTCTTCCAGTTCCCTGAAGCTGAGAAAGTTTTGGAGCTGCGGTGTGGGCAAGGAGGTTAGTAATGCGAGGATTGCCCTCAGACCATGTGTTGGGAAGGAATACCGTTGTCCAAGAATCCATTATCAACATAAACGAAAATAATACTCCGGTCTGGCTGTCATATTGGCTCATTTCATGGCACGTCTTAGCACAATCATTGGATGTACTTTTCTGCGGCGTGCTCTAATGCCATATTGGGTACCTCCAAGCTTGTCTTCGCAAGTCCGTGTAAGCCGTGGTTGGACCATTGCTGCGAAGTTTCATATGTTACATTCAAAAGTATATAGGACGGTACTTGTCCGCATCCGTGTCTGTGCATTTGCCTTTATGTACTCACGAGCCTTTAAATGTACTCACGACTGTATTTTCATGCCAGCTTTGCGGTGTGGTCTGGGATGTCAGGGTTTCATTGTATAGACCCCGAAGCTTGTCCTGACACCTTGTTGAATTTGATTTAAACTTAGCTAGGTTCCGCGAGCATGAAGGGTGTGGCGTCCGGAGTGGTTTCGTGGAGTTGTGGTCTGGATTCGAGTGCTTCCAATGCACCTGTTGGGAGCGCGGGCTGGGCCGCCCACTGTTTGTTCTGAAGATGGTCTCGAAATGCAGTATGCGTCTGCGACCAAGGTACTGGCTTACCGCCGACAACCACGTGTGATGTTTTGCCTACAAATCAATGTTACAGATCCTTTTAAATGGTTTTTGATAGTTTTCCAGATGGTGCTGTGTTCCCCGGACGGATCCTGTTGCAACTCCCGGATCCATGGCATGCGCTTAAGGTACGGGTGAACCTTGAAGGCGTTCACTGCAGCATTATGCTAACATTATGCAACGCTGTTCACTGAGTGGGGGGTCATCCTTGTGCTGCGGCCAATGCCCTTCCCTGCTTTGCTTACCTTGTCAGCTTCCGCGTTCCCTTCTGTTCCCCTATGTGCCTTTACCCGCTGAAAGGTGGCCTTAAGGGACGGTTGTCGGAGCAAATCTCGAATGTAGTTGATGAGGCTATGATGTGTTTTTGGTCTCCACTTGTCCGTTGACACATTTACGCACCATTGGCTGTCTGTTTTGATGGTGATTCTGGTGTAGTCTCGTTCTAGTTCTAGTGCATACAGGATAGCCTCCGCAATAGTTGGATCCCACGCTAGCGCCTGGGAAAGCAGTGTGGCTGAGGACGTGATAGCCCTTTAGCCTCCTCCCAAGAGTCGTCAGGGAACAACAACCCCATCCTGGTCTGATCTGTATAACACACTCCCACTAGCGCATTGCATTGTGCTTGGAGTTCCAAAATGAGGGCTTTGAAGTTGAGAATCTGGCGGGGTTGAATGGTTTTGGGTCTGCTGCAGAGTTTGTACTGTGATTCTGTAACCAAGAGTTAATGGTCATTGAGATGCCCGTGACGCTTGGAGCGGCTGTTAACTGCGCCACTGCGACCTGACGAAAGTGTGGTCCAGTCCCTCTGATACCTAATTGCGTCTGGGCGTGGGTCGGTTTTTTCAGGGGGTAGGGGTTCGCCAAGGTTCAGGACCTACTCTGGGCGTGATATGTTGGCAGAAATGGTAAACAACAAATGCGGCAAATTGGATTAAGACGTGCTGCACCTTGAATCGAACGAGAAAACAAGCAATTGCTGGGTCGGCAATAGGCACATGGTGAAGGCTTCCCCCTCGTACTCCATTTGGGCAGCACTAGTTGCAGAACAAGTAAATGCAACTGAGCTGAGGAACAACGACAAAATTAACAGCGCCATCTTGTTCCAACCTCGAAAGAGCACCCTGCCGACGAGGCACCGTGGAAGCTCCACATCATCACCCGGTGACATGCACACCTCAGGAATTGAATTGCGACAACGAATAGTTCCTCGACCAGAAGCCCGTGGTCATTAAAAGAGCTGCCACTCAACGTGGCAAGTGGCGACACGGTGTGAACTCCCTCTCTCTCTCTCTCTCTCTCTCTCTGCGGAAACCACTACGAGTAGGAGCCGTGTGGTGTCAACTTCTCGGGCTCTGCCCCACCATGGCCTCAAGGTCCTACGCCGGGGAGATGGCACGAGCCCTTGGCCCAGCCAAGTGCAACGTTACAGGTGAGCCCTAGACTGTGGGCGCTTGGCCAACCCAATCCAAACTGTCAGGACACCATTGCCAATGCCAAGGCGCACACGACAAACGGAGCCTGTGGAGTGGACAAGCGATGGCTCGGTAATGAAAACGTGAAGCTCCCTTGCAGCTAGAGCAAACTAGTACGAGGGTTGCTTGTTGCTGAAAGTCTGTCTTCATGTCTGTTTTCTGCATGCATACATGCCGGTATGTATGCTGAGATACAAACTCATGATGTGTTGTGTGTGCATCTTTCCTTTTATATGTTACAGCTATAGAGTTATAGCATAATAGCACCATGGGATTTGCGCGAATGCATGCTACCGTCATCACTGGCTTCTCCGTCACAGCTGTTGAGCCGCGGCGGTGGGCAGACACAAGCAAACATTGCAAAAAGGAACAGATGTGGCTGGGAATGAGAATGAGCTCTCGAACCAAAAACCCTGCACATGGACTGGAAGACTTCAAATGCTTGGAGGCCCATCGGTTCTTACCTGCCAGCGTACACCAGGCAATGTCCGGGGCTTACGCCAGCCATGTCGAAGAGCAGTTCCAACTGATTCAAAGCCATTGCCAAATCTGAGCCTTCGTCATAAAGAGTGCGCACACGACTGGGGCGAATAGAATTAATTACAGCCCGGGTTTTCTTGCAGAACGCACGCACTGACTTTCTAGAACTTGCGGGACACTGTGGTCTACTTTAAAGGAACGACAGCCACAGATGACCGAAAGGTGAGCATGTCCAGCAAACAGGCATACTGTACTACCTGATGGAGAGCATTACTTAATGCAGTCTGGCAGATGAACGCTGCAAGCCACGTCCGGTACTGCTAGCACAATCCAGCCTGGTGTTGCAAAAGCCACCACACGCAGCGCACAGCGTCGCGTACTGAAAATTAACTCAGAACCTCTCCGAGCCAAAAGCCGGTGGAGAGACAGCGATGGTGCGAAGCTTGATGCTTTCGGTAGGCGCAGCTGTGCAAATCAACTTACTTGTGAATCTGAGTTGAGGTTGCAGCACCTACACTGTCGATTTCCATCGTGAGGCGATGCTCATGCTCTTACTCAAGTCTCAAGCTGCCAAATAGGTTACATGCTGATAGGTCTTGCGAAGGCACTGCCACAAGAGGGGGGGAGGCAGGACCGTCTCGCGTCAGCAAGCTTTTGAGCAGCCTGTGACCTGCCCCCGAATGCGATGGAAAAAAGCGATGGAACGCGTATCGGACAAGAAGCTGTCTGGTGCAACAAACCAAGTCCCATGATGTCCCATGCATCATCAATGAGCGAGACTGAGAATACATCGACCAAGGAGAAGTCGAAGTAAATTCATAAGGCTGTTGCTGATGTAGAGCCCACCAAGAGAGAGGACCACCTGGCACTCTGGACAAAAAAGGCAAACTCAGTTTTCAATTCTTCCAGAGCTAAGGCCGCTCAAGCACACGTGCCGGCAGCACGGCTGGCGGTCCACAGGCTGCAAGCTGGAGCAGTAGGGGTCGTGACCTCAGCGGTCCTCGCAGTCCTGCTTCGCGGCTGCTATCTTATGCGACAGCATGCAACATCACCTCTGCAAAACTGGCCTCCTAGTTCTTGTACCGTTTCGTGAACGGTCCTGCCCTTGCTTGCACGCCCTTTGACAAATGCCACCCAAGCGATTTCCTCTTCTAGCTAGAACTGCCTGCCAACGGCAGCGAGAGACTGAAAAGTGAGTCTTGCAGCAAGCTCGCCTGCGTACGCAGCGCCATAGGCGGCGGCAGCCGTCAGGATCAAGCCTTGTGCTTCCAAAGCGACTTTCTAAGGCCGGTTGCCTTTCTACACCTAGCCGAAACGCATGAAGAACTCTCCAGCTCGTGCACGCCTTCAGTAAGGCCCATGCTCATTGGGGGATCTAAAGCGTCCTCCACCTGCATCCAAATGGCAGGAATACCTAGACTTCTGTGCAGGCTCGCGACTTCTGCTAGTCGTACTTAACATAGGAAGTGGACCTGCTTCTGCTGAAGCTCATCCATTTTCTGCCTCGTTTCAGGCGCCTTGCAACGCAACGCCAAGCGGATCTGATCAGAATCGATGTCATCAAACAATGAAGAAGCACTGGACTCTATAGGGCCGAAAGCTCCGTGTGCTCGACATGCAACACGCAGCTTTCTGCATTGCTCCAAGGCGGGTTCGCTCAGAGCCAGACCCTCAAGGTGCGCATGCAGCGAAGGATCGCCTCAACAGCACTTTGCAGGTCTGAAAGCCCGGCCACAACTGTGTCAGGAGTCTTTTGCATTGGCGTGCCATGTCATCTCATCCTGTACAATGATATCTGCTTAATCAGAGTTCAGGCATGCTGATTGAAACCTACATGAAAGTCAAGGGTGTCCTGCCTCACCAATCAGTTGCCTAAACTGCGGTGTCAACTCTTGAGTACTATGTCCGGGCTTCAGGCCAACCGCTGGTTCCAAGCATGCGTCCCATCGACAAACACCTGGAACCCACCCAGAACAGAGACAAAGCCTTGCGATGCCTTGCAGCCAATCCTCGCGATTTCGTGCAAAGGCCGGCTGACAACTGTCCAGAGGATTCTGATGCATTTCTCAAAAGCTGGCTGGTCGTTGGATCAAACGTCAGACAAGGCTTGGCCCCTCCACATGAACCTGGAATTACGAGCCTTGAAATCTCAGCCCCCCCGACAACACATCAAGCAAAAGGCATTGGACACAAGAAGCGAAGTCCTAGCCCTTAAGCTCCCCCAGCCGAACAAAAAAACCGCAGACCACCCCACCGGACATCTTGCGTAAAAGTGAAGCCAAAGCCTTACAACAACAATGATATTTCTCAAGCTGAAACCAAACTGTATCAAACGCCAATCTGAAAACACAATAACAGTTGAGCAAATCAAATCAGACCTCCATACTCGTCCAAGTTCGAATGACGGCTTCTAATTTATTGATCGTCCAATGTCTGATATTGCACGTCTGCATGACTGCAACATACTGCAACTGTACCGAATATCTCGGAAAGGCCACAACGTTTGCTGTCGGTTGGCCGCATCTTGTGACTTGCTAGGCAATCAGAGCCAGTCAGTTCGCAGACACGCACGTCGCTATGCTGCAAAGCAATAGTAAGAAACTCCGATTTTCCAATCCGAATGGTCAGTTGCTCATGCAGAATCATGTAACTTGCGCAGCAGTCGGCTCGACAGGCTTGCATAAAACTCTGAACAATGAAAATTGAGTGAAAGCATGCAATTCTGACCATGTCCTCGCGCAACAACATCTGTTGCAACGTCTGCTTTGCGTGAAAACTCAACCGCAGATGCACGTTCGACTGCAAGTTGTGAGCATCGAGAATCGCAACATAGCGACGTCCCGAAAATGTTCGGCTCTTGACTGTGGTGTGCTTGCAAGGCATTCACATTCCAGATTTTTTTCCAAAGGATTCAGAAACTGTTTGGAAAGAATATCTGACGCTCCAAAGTATTCAATAAAATTTTGTTCCCAAAATATGCGCAAATAAGTTCATTCCCAATCATCGATCGAGCGGTCGGGCTTCGCTCGTTGCGAAGCCGCGAATCACATGGGCGACCCAAGTCCACCGAGGACTACCCAGTTTTCAGGGGAAAGTGGGACAGCAATTTTTGCTTATAGACTTCACATATCTGCGAAAATGTGCACTGAATCAAGTGTGGTCCGCTTTCATCTGCGAAGCATGAACTAAATCGTTCATGGAAAGTCCTACACCAC